TTGTTTAAGATAAAGAAAAATATAATGAAGCCACAGAAAATTCGTGAAGAGAAAAGTCCTTTTAGTTACATGAGAGTTTAAACACAACTACACATGAGAAGATATCTTACTATTTTAATTAAGTAAGGTAGATCTAAGCGAATATATATAGGTTAATTAAAGCTAAAGTTACATGGTGAAGGGACTAGCTAAGATTGGTATTAGCAATGGCGATACATTTATATTATTACTTTTTCAGGTTTTCTACACAGATTTCTTTCTCTTAAAATAACTTTTAATTTAATAATTTTTAAAATAATTAAATGTAAACATCTGTTTAGTATATTATATCAGCTGCTCTGCGAAAAGTAATTTCAAATTATTAATGTTTTTTTTTGGCGTCACTTCTTAAAGATCTAACCACGTAAACTTTAGTAAGAAAAGAGAAAGGGTAAAAATTCCATTTACTAATTCTGCGAAATATCTGGCTATGAGCCTAAATGCCACGTCAAGAAACAACTAACTGAGGTAAATGTTAGAAATAAAAATTTAATTTGGCTTATTGGTAGGAGATCTAAAGTATATCCGCAACAGAAACTTATGACATAAAAACAAGTCTTGGCTTATTGGTAGTGGATCTAAAGTATATCGGCAACAGAAACTTATGATATAAAAACAAGTCTGCAAGCCGGTATGGCTCTATGGTGTCCAAATTTGGGGTTGTGCAAAAAAACATATAATAAATATGATACAAACGTTCCTAAACAAAGCACTCAGGAATGCAGTTAACACTGCATGGTATGTGCGAAATGCTGATCTACATCGTGACTTTGACATACCTACTGTCAAGCAAGAAATACAGAAGACTGCTAAAACACATTATAACAGGCTGAGACAACACTTAAACAGCACTATTCCGGCGTTACACACAGACGCTTATGTCGCTTCAAAACCAAATGACCCTTTGAGGCGTTTCAGCCAGCTAGGAGAAGACTAGCTCAGATCTGTTTACTCACCATAGATAAGTAACATTACTTGTAATTTTATTACAATATTAATTTAAAAACCTCTTGTTAGTCAATACGACTAGTTGTTGTTAATTTAAACTCTACTTCGTTTAAATATAATAAATAAAAAGAAAATTTCTTAAAGATGGTATTAACAGGTAAGGATCGTACCTCCTGCATTTACGCAGCTGCTACACTGTATATAGTAGTGACTCCATACCCCATTCATTATCTTGTTATTCATTACATTTCTGTATAGATCAATAAATTATAGATTATACTCAACAGATTATAACAATAGTTCAAGCCAAAATATTATAATTAATAAAACGTCACAGCTAGTCGTTTTTAATATAATGTACTGTTTGCTCACCTTCAAGTCAATGCAAGCCGGATGCATCATGAAATTGGCAGCTGCCAGAGGTCATGTAAAGTAATAAGAAAATATGCTATCAGTTTCTCTGTGAAAATAAATTTAAAAATATTGCACGTTTATGCCGGAGGCACTTAATTTTCAATTTATGCGTAAAACCATGCGTTTGAGTGACGCATAAATGCAGCATGGAAATTCATTTTTATAAAATTATTATATTTTTTTCAGTTTGCATATCTAACAATTTACCTTTTAGTTATAGATAGTCCTTTAAATCTATGACTCCACTATATTTTTGGATTAATATTTCTGTAAGTTTTTAAGTGACTGGAATTTAACGTTTCAGTTCAATGATCACTTTGCCATTTCAACGTATGGCAATGTTGAAATCAGCGAATGGATATGCACTTTTTCGGGTGAATGCAAACAATTAACACTATTTTATTGCAAAAATTTCATATGTAATTGAAAAAATTTAATTGAATTCTTGCTGTGCGAAGTTTTACTGACAAAGCAGGAGCGGCATGGCATCATCAGCACAAAACACCTGTGGTTATTGCAGTATGAGGTCTTGCAAACGTACTGAAGTCCATACAAATGCATATGCTCCTATTCTCGAAATATCGTGAATTTGTTGAAAATATGAAATTGTATTTCCAAAATAAAGACTCAATTAATTTCACACGCTCTACTAAACGAAATGAAAAAATTCCAAATTTCAATATTTTTCATATAAGCGAAATGAGCAGGTTTTGGTATTTCGTATATATAAAATTTTTATTAAAGTTAAATCAAATATTTTTTAAGTATTTCTGAGTGCTTATTTGTGTAAGCTAAATTGTATGCTCTTAGCCATTCAACTGAAAAACAAATTGGAATGGTTATATGAAAATTTTGCTAAATATTCCTGTTGGAATGCATAAATTATTACAAAAAAAAAAAAAAATTTGGATATACTTTCAATATCTGCATGTACATTATTGAGAAATAGAGTTTAAAATAAATTGGCTTCACTGAGTTTACCTTCGAAAAGAATTTAATATTTCATGTAATATTCCCTTTAATATCCTGTGCACATATATTGATCTTTTGCTCTTTTGAGCAATTTTAATTTATATTGCCAGGAACGCATACGTAGGTATATACACTGCTTTGAAAAAGTATATATGAAAATATCAGAAACGTTCGCTCTACGTAGGCTATTTACTACACAATTGTACCGAACTAAAAAAAATATAAATTTTTATTTTTAATTTGCTTTCGATTTTAGATTGCTTTGGAAAGCCTATTAAATTGAAATTTAAAATCATATTTCTGAAAAA